AGGCCAAAAAAGAGAGGGAATCACTCAAAAAAATTTCCACTGAGTACAAAACATTACCTATACTGTTTAGAAATCACATCATGAAAATCTTAAGTAAACAATACTTTTTCTTTTCCCAAAATACGCCATTTAATATTGAAATTAAAACACCTACCACCATTTTCTTCTCCATTACTATTGTTTGTCTCAGCCATTTCAGTGCCATCTAACTCAGATTCACATCCTAAATCCAATGTTCCATCAGTAGGGCATGTTGATTCTTCTTTCTACAGTTAAAAAAGAAAAAGAAAACTAAAGTTAACAAGAAAAAAAATCAATCATGATCCTGCTGCATCTCCGAAAATAGATTACTGCAGTGTACTCTCATGCTTGCATTTCAAAAAACAGAATAAAATAAAATAAGCTTGTGAGTTACTTCAAGGAAAGACATAAAAACAGACTTTCATGAAACAACTTGCAAAGCAAAAGCAAAAAAGCTATTTTGTGAAGTCATAATATACCCTTTTTTTAAAAATGTCAAATAAAATGCAAGATCTTCCACTTTTTCTTTTCTTTCTTTTTTCTTTTTTCTTTTTTAATAGAAACAGACTTGTTTAGCTGTTAAAAATCCTAGTTTTCCAGTTGAGTGTCCAGAACGCTGCAGCAAACACAAATCCTTTAATGTTTCTTTTCTGCCTTTGCGTGTTTCCTGAATTCAAATAGCTGAAGCAACCTGGAGCTCACAAGCATGGGAGTGATTGTGAATACCTGGATTTGTGCCAAGAATATCTCCCGATTTAAAGAAAAACAACAGCATTTGTTTTAGTAAATTAGGAAATAGAGCTTCTGAAAACTAATAATTCAATCTCATATACAGAATTTTTAGTTATCAGGAGCAGGCAAATCTATATAGTTTTATTTTCTATTTTTTTAAACCCTTATATCAAATAAATCTGTCATAAATGACAAAAGATCCTTCCCCCAGCCCAAAATTTTAATTGACTTCATTCAGACTGCCAAACATATAATCTCACTTTGTTTCTCACCTCTGCCTCACATTCCTCCACTCCTATTGTGAACCCCCTCTAAGTTTGATCATGTACAGAATTTCTACTCACAGAATTTCTACCCACAGAAACCTTCATATACATACCAAAACAGAAAAATAAAGAGGAAAAGGAATAGAAATAGCATAAAGGCAAAATTCTATCACCATAATTATATTCCTTCTCAAAAGCAATGATGCAACCTGTAAATTAAAAGCTGATTTATATTAGACTTGCAAATAATTTTGCACTATTAAAAAATCAAACGCTAATACAATTGCTTAATGAGAAAGTCAGTGATCCTCATGAGCTCACTGCTCATAAAACAAAGGCCTTTCTGTGAACAACTCTGAAAAAGCAGCATTTTAGCTAAGCTACATGTTTTTTATACCATATGCCAAATTCAAGAGCTTGTATATGCTTTCTAGGATAAAAGATTCAATGTTTACTTTCATTATAAATCCTTTTAAAAGACATCTGAAAGCAGTTAGAAGGACTATCAGGTCATTTCCTCTCCAAAGAATCTAATCTGTTTACCTTTATATCTATTGAGACATTCATAAAATGGATTAATAGTGCTATGTACTTTCCATATACAAAATTTAAACTTACTTTGAGAGCATAGAGTCCCGACTTCCCAGGGATTTTGAAGAATGTTCCATCACCTACACGAGTGTTAGTATGAAGCATTGCATTCAGGCAAGCTAATGGAGAGGTTCCACTGAAAAATAAAATTGTGCAGTCCAAGATTGAGTGCCTCTTGTAAAACTGTTCCCTTGGTCTATCTTTTTTTTAAAACTCATGCTTGCCTGGCTTTTTTTTGCCCCCCCCCCCGCCCTTTTTTTTTAATTCTCTCAACCCTGAAAACATCTACATTACAATAACAGGCCAGTTTCAAACTTAATCATATGCATCTGTCCCCTAGGCTCGAGGCAAAAAGTCTGTGAATTATAATTATGCTTTTCTTCATACAGCAACCAGCTCCACATTCTAAGAGAAACAAAGTCCAAATATTTATGTGAAATTGCTTCGTAAATAACACCATGAAGCCTCATTTTTAAAATGTTACAGACAATGTGGCTGCTGCACATGAATGATCAAAACAGTACCAAGTTCAAGGGCAGCTGCATCCCATAGGATGAAAGGCAACAAAAGAATAATAAAGAGCCCAGTAAGAACACATTTAAAATTAAAAGTGATATATAGTTAAGCCTTCTTCTGGCTTAACATGGTCAGCATGCATTACTATACATAAATACAAGCACATTTGTACCTTCTACAAAGCACTATCTTTTCTAATTAGAGTTGGTTTAGAGATTAAGAGATTGACCTACTCAAGGTAGTAATTGTAATACCACTGTGGAATGCATGTTAAGGGACTATGTAAAAAGAAACACAACAATAAGAAAAAAAAGAGTACTTGTACAGAGATGTCTTTGTAAGATATGCATGTTTACAAGAGAAAAAAGTAAGTGTTTCTATGCTAGTTACACTATTCTGAAAAGTTGATCTAAGAAATGGTGGGGAAGAACGTTGTCACAAATTGGTTTATTTCATTTTAATTTAAAAATTAAAGTACAAGATTTATAGATGTATTAACACATCTTTGTCCCCATTTACTGACTAATGTACACGGTGTACTCAGGGACTGAATCTGAAACTGTGCTTCTTCCCTTGGGTCCCTAGCCTGCACACACGCTTATCTTTAGCCACGTAAATATATTCCACTTGGTTAAGTGGAACAATGCCTGTGCATTAAATTAAGTGCGTTGCTAAGTATTTCAGGATTAATTATATACTCAACTATAAACCAGGAACAGGGCTTCAAAAGTCCATAAAAAACTACCGCTTGTTATTATACAATATTCTAACACAACATCCAATCTTTGTTAAAAATTGCATGACTGATCTTTTTTTATAAATACAACTGGACTGAAATTGTCATCTTTCATATGATGATGTTTTCTGTTGATTTCCATGGCTCTGTTACAACAAAATTCATCCTTACTGTACATGTATTCATTTAATGGCAAGATGGATATTGTGGTAATTGATCTTCTGTTAAAAATTAAACTATGAAGTGTCCTCAGGACAGGAAGTCCTGTCCAATATAATTTATTTACTATTGTTCACCTAATGTATCACATTACTACATCTAAAATAAAAAAAAAGTAAAGGTAAAAATGCTGCTTGTTGATAAACAAGTCAGATATTTAAGAAATATCTATTTTATGAGTATTCTAAATATAGTCATACAATATGAAAATTCTGACAAGTTTTTGTTATTCCTTTTTTTCCCCTGCAAATAAAACTAATTCCACATCTGGTTTTGATATAATGCTATAACAGAATACAAAACTAAACATGGTAGAAATAGAACAGTACTGCTAGCAGTAGCACAGAAAACATTAAGAGATTTCATTGAGTTTAACAATTACTTAAAACAGTTTTGGAATAAGTAGGATACTTCTCTTTACACATTTTCCTTATTGTATTAATGTTTGACAAGCAAAGACACAAAGCATTTGACAGAGCAGTTCTAGTTGCATAATTTCTTCCATATGTTAACATACATAACATGAAGCAATTTTGACTCTCACAGTCTTGGATCTTTTTAGTGAAACATTATCACAGATTAAGACTTTCTCGGCAAGACAGAAAGAACTTGCTGACTCTGCAGTGGAAGACAAATTCAATATATCAACAAGAAACAAAATTGTGTGTGCATGTATGCACCATTTGTATCCTTCTCCTATTCCGATGTGGATATTCTGGACTCCACACTTATTTTTAGATATCATTAACCAATTAAAATGATACAAGATGAATGAGCCCAAAATAGAGGATTTGGCAATATCTCATGACCACTACTGTGCTCACAGAAGATATCTTAATCTTCAAAGTCTAGCCAACTGGCAAGTGGACAATAGAAACTACTCTATGACTTACAAAGAAATCCGTATCAGCTACTGAGCCAAGAAGTACTTTAACTACCGTTATGCTTGTTTCATACAGCTATCTGCAATGCCTAAATAAATAATTTGGCATACTACCAAAGGGCCATATCCACCCTTCTTGAAAATCAGACTTGGTTATGTCTATAATGAGCACAAAACAAACCACACATACTTAAGTTGCAAATGAAATAATAATCTGGACATTGTGGGATGAGATTGATTTTGAGCTAGCAGCTCAAATTGAAATTCCATGGTGTCCTTGATCACTGCTGTTTTGACCCATTTTAACCAATGACTTGCCTATTCTTCTGTCAGCAGAGGCTGTATTAAAATTCCCAAACGTTATCCACAGAGGATGCTGGAAACACTTGCAATACATGCTATCACAATATATGGGACTGTAGTTAGAAAAGCCAGCAATCAAAGATCCCATGATGCAGACTGATGTCTGAATCATAGAGCAGTTTCTGAGGAATCCATAACACTTATCGTATGCTTTTTAAATTCTCCTGCAGGACATATTGGTTCTGCTCAGAGCTGCTCGCATGTATTAACACAGCAGCCAAGGACTGCCAAATATAAGTATCTTTGAATGTTAAAAATGGTACAGTTTGACCTAAGTTCTTGAAACACACTAAATCAGTTCAACTTTGATTCAGTTAAATCAAATTGGATACAATAATACTGTACTTTGTAACTTGATATCTGTGAATTTTTAGAGCCATAACATATTTTAAACCTGCTGCAAGTCTTGTTGCCATAGTCTACAATATGTTTACCATTTACAGCCTTCAGATACAGAACTTTCATACTATTTATCATCTTTTTGGTGAGATTGCTTTAAACCATTGTGGTATTCTAAAAGTAATTCATACATGGGAGTCACCCTCTGCAGCAGTACGTCTTCAAGACTGATCATTTTCTGCATGTATGTTTATTTTATATACATATACATCTATACATACATACAAGCAGTCTACCCACACCTGCATACTTTCAAATAGATTTTAAAAATGAAAAGTTACTTACTTTCTGTAAAGGTGATACCAAGTTACAACAACCAGCGACATAGGAAAGAGAAAAAAAAATACTGATTAGCCTTCCAATATAAAAGTTAATACAATTTGATCATTTAAAAGACATTTCAATGTTTCATAGATGCTCTTTCCCAGAATCATGATAAGTTGGTAGTATTCAGCACATCCTTCCAAATATAATCACAAAATTCCTGCACACTATCAAAGCACACTTCTCACCCCAACTCCCCCAGTCAAAAATATCTCCAATATTTTGTGATTCTGAGCTCCCTCTACTGGTCATGCAGCCAGTGTTACCTAAATCGAAATGCCGGACGACACAGTCTCAACACACAAAGCTCTGCAAAAACATGTAGTGGAAGCACACATTTCAGTTACTTTCTCTCCTACCACCTTCCCCCAAAACACTATAAAAATCTGTAAAAACACCAGTGAAACCACTACTTATTTTTATATTGTAAACTTCTCAAACACACGCTTTTGTCAGAAGAACCCTGAAAACTTCTATGGTTATACTTTTAATTCTAATGGTCTTTGCTAGACTGCTTGCCACGAGAAAAAAAAGTTTGATCTTGGCAAAAAAAAAAAAAAAAGAAAAAGAAAAAGAAAAAAGAAAAACAGTTTTAAATATGGAAAATAAATTGCCTAAAGTCAACCTGTCCGGACAATATAGTGTGGCAGACAGTGAAAGCTTTCTGACACTCCACAGCCAAGGCACCTGGGGTCCTGCCATAGGCAGCATTTCAGCCACTCAGCTCCCCTGCACATAGCGTAGCCCCCTCCTAGAGCTTACAAGGGTTCCTGATATGTTCCCAAATTGAACGACGACTGCTGTAAGAGAAGCACTTCACTATCATAAATGTGATCAGTATTTATTTGTTTGAAATCATCTGCTCATTTTATATAGATCCATAAATAGTCACAAGGGAGCAACAATTTTTACTCACTGCTGGAAACAAAGTAAAACTAAAAGGCTTCAGAACTAATTTCTAGACCTGATATGAAGTCACTCAGAATAAAATATGTTCATAATGCGTGTAAGTTATACCAGTTTCGGAGTACACAAGAGTGATAACAGATAAAGAAAATAAAACGTATGAGGGAAGCATGCAGAAAACACATTTCTGTGGTCCAGCAAACAGAAAAGTAAAAAAAGGTATAATTGTAACTTTTCAGAAAAATGTAAAAGACTGTTGAAGTCAATAGAGATAAATGTTCTTCATGGCCACTGGGGGAAGAAAACAAAGTTCACAGATAGTCTAAAAGCGTGAATGTAGCTGTTGATGTTTTAATCAACACCAGAACAGAGCAGGGGAGTTTGTAAAAGGACCTTCATCAGAAGATCAAATACACACCAGTCCTGGCTGGTACATATACTGGAACCTGTCCCAGTGTTAGCGTTCATATTGCATGACCTCTTGAGCAGGCATCCAGCACTGTGTCCTAGGATTCTTTATCTCTTTAATAAATCAAAATTTTGTTAAAGCCTGAGGTTTACCGTATACCCTGAGTATACTTTTTTCCAACGTACACAGCAGCCAGACCATTTTACTGTACTCTAATGGTACAGGCACAGGATCCTTCCCTTGGCACAGAGGGACGTAGAGAGGACAGAGAAATGGCTGAAAACAATGCCAATGAGTGCAAGATTTCCTGCCAACAATCTACAAACTTTTCAGCAATAAAAGCTTCGAGTTAGTCTAAACAAATCAAATCACAT